TCACCTACGTCTAATCAGGCTGGAGATTCTATTGGCTTTAACTTCCAAATATTTTAAGAATCTGATCATTTCTTGGTCCACCCCACCACTGCCACCTTGGATTACTGAAGTATCCTCCTAACTAGTCTCTCTGCTTCCACCCTCCCCCTTCTTCAGTCTATCTATACTCATCACTCTTGCCTGTGTGATCTCATTAAACTATTTCATTTATCTCCTCAAAACCCTTCAGTGACTTCCTGCATTGCTTAAAGGCACAGGGACCTTCAAGGTCCTGTTTATAATCTGGCCCCCTCTAAGGCCTATGACTTCATCTGTTGCTCCTTTCCCCTTCGCTCACTCTTCTCCAGACTCTCCTCCCTCTTTATCTTGAGGAGTCCCTGGGTGGCACAAATGATTAAACACTCAACTACCAAGTGAAAAGTTGGTGGTTGAAACCCACCCAGAGGCACCTGGTGATCTTCCGAAAGGTCACAGTCTTGAAAACCCTATGGAGCCCATTTCTACTCTGCACACAACAGGGTCGCCATGAGTCAGAATCAACTCAATGGCAACTGGGGTGGTGGTGGTCTTTATCCTGAATAGGATAGGAAAGCTCCCAACCCAGGGTCTTTGCTGTGCCATCTGCCTTCAATGTTCCTTTCTCAACTATCAGCATTGCTCTACTTTGCTTCAAGTCTTTACTGAAAAGACATTTCCTCAGTGAGGCCTTCTCCAACTATTCAACTTAAAATTGTAACCTGACCCCTGCACCTTCTATTCTCCCCTTCGTTCTCTGTTGCCATGGCAATATGCACTATCTGACATACTACATATTTTACTTGTTTTGTTTCTCATCTCTTGCCTCTTGATGAGGCCAGGAATATTTTGTCTGCTTTGTTCACTGAGCCTAGAATAGGGTCTGGTTTTCAGTAGGTACTTAGAAAATATTTTTTGAACAACTGAAAAATTAATTTGCTGATGTTGTATTCTCAAATGTTCACTCGCAGATGTTCAATGTTATGATTTACTGTTCAAAACACTGCCATATAGCAGGCAATAATGAAAACAATGAAAATAATGAAAACAAAAAGTATCCAACTAAGTTAGAGCTGACTGTCATTGGAACAGAGGCCCATCATAAGGCAGGGACTACTTGTAGTTAGAAATCCAGTCAAACAAAGACAGAGAATCATCCAGGTCTTCCTACTTTTTCTAAAACAGAAAGCAACAAAGGAAAGTGGAGGTTGAGAAAAATTAAAGCAGGTTGAAACCAGTTGCCATTGAATGGCTCTGTCTCATGAGGATCCCACGTGTGTCAGAGTAGAACTGTGATCCATAAAATTTTCAATGGCTGATTTTTCAGAAGTAGATAGCAGGGAGTCCCTGGGTGGTGCAAACAGTTAACATGCTGAGCTGCTAACCAAAAGGCTGGAAGTTAGAGTCCAATCAAAGATACTTCAGAAGAAAGTAGATTTAGGAGTGGCTTCATGGGTCTAATTAAATAAAACAGTTTATCAATTTCCCAAGGCAGCAGGGCAGGTCTAACCTAATCGTTTTAAGTAGTCAGAGTTCTAAATTTGCTGAAGAACAGAGAAATTTCCTCTAGGGCAGCTGTTTTCAAAGTGTGGTCTATGAACTTCTGGGGGCTTCTGCAAGACCCTTTCAGGGGACCTGCAAGGTTGAAACAATTTTCTTAATAATACTTAGACATTATTCTCCTTTTCCACTATGTTACATTTGAATGGATGGTGCAAAATCAATGGTGCATAAATCTGCTGTTGTTTCTGCCCAAATCCAGCAAGTGATACCAAGCCAAATTTAAAAACCCATTGCCGTCAAGTTGATTCTGACTCACAGTGACCCCTAGGACAGAGTAGAACTGCCCTATAGGGTTTCCAAGGCTGCCATCTTTATGGAAGCAGACTGCCACGTCTTTCTCCCATGCAGCAGCTGGTGGGTTCGAATCACTGACATTTTGGTTAATAGCTGAGTGCTTAACCACTGCACCACCAGGGCTCCTCCAAGCCAAATTAGTGGTCAGTATATGCTGTTGGTACAATGGTTAATCACTGGCTGCTAAGTGAAAGGTTGATGGATCAAACCCACCCAGCAGCTGTGAGGGAGGAAGCCTAGTGATCTGCTCCCATAAAGATTATAGCCTAGAAAACACTATGGGGAAGTTCTACTGTCTCACAAGGGGCCGCTATGAGTTGGAATTAACTCTATAGCACCTAACAACAACATATCCTCATACTCTTAGTGCAGGTGGGGGCTGAAAAAAACAAAGCAAGTTTCACTTAGGAATGTCCTTGGTGATGCAATAAAAAAACGGTATTAAATCTTGACCTTCAAGTACACATCTTTTTAGTGTTCTGTGTAACAAAACAGAAGCATGCATTTGGCACTTTTCCATATCAAAAGATGATGGTTGTCTGAAGGAAAAGGATGTGTACAAGTGTTTGAGTTGCTACCTTAACTAGTAACCGAATTTTTCATGGAACATCATTTTTTACTTGAATGAATGTCTGACAAACTATGATTATTGAGACTTGTGTATGAGGCAGAACTTTTCTTGAAAAGGAACAATGCAAACCTGTCACTTCAAGGAAAAAAACTGACATTATTTGTGGCCAATGAGAAAAGTCAAGCTTTCATGAGAAAATTAGAGGTTTGGAAAATGTGTACCTGCTTTAATGATGATATCTTTCATTCCAACAATGTTTTTCCATTATGTGATTTTTGGGTCTTATTTAAGTAATCCATTTCTGTCTCAATGTAACATAGGTTTCCTCATACATGATCACTCATTTAATTTTACCTTTCACATATCTTTGTTTGGCATTTATTTTATATACTGTGTATTGTGTGACCTAACTTCATTTTTCTCTATACAGTAAGCCATTTTCTTTCCCTAACACTACCCTTTTCCACTGATTTTGAATCCTCTAGCTGTTTAGTTCAAATCCACCAGCTGCTTCTTGGAAACACTATGGGGCAGTTCTGCTCTATCCTGTAGGGTAGCTATGAGTAGGAACCTACCTGACGGCACCTAACAACAACGACAACAACAATAGCTGTTCCAAGTTCTCAAATACAATAGGCCTGTTTCATAGATTCCACTTGACTACTTGTCTAGTTCTACATCTATAACACAGGGAAAACTTTTTCTACTACTGTGTTGTTTTATTATCTGTACTATTATATTGATTCTTCTGCAGCAAAATAGCTTATGTATTTTGTAGAACTTTTTTCTTCTACATACATTTAGAAAGCTTCCAAGTTTCCCTCAAAATCCTATTGAGTTTCTCCCAAAAGCCTATAACCCCAGTCTAATTACTGGAAACATCAGACAAAGCTCAGTACCTACTCTATAGTCCTCAAAACTGTTAAGGTCATCAAAAACAAGGAAAGTCTGAGAAACAGTCACAGCCAAGAGGAGCCTTAGGAGATATGACTACTATGTAATGTGGTATCCTGGATGGGATCTTAGAACAGAAAAAAGACATTAGGGGAAATCTTTGGAAATCTGAATAAAGTGTGTACTGTAGTTAATAATAATGTATCAATATCGACTCATTCGTTATGACAAATATACTATACTAGTGTGTTGTTGTTAGGTGCTGTCAAATTGATTCTGACTCTTAGTGACCCAATGTGACAGTAGAACTGCCCCACAGGGTTTATTAGCCTATAATATTTCAGGGAGCATATCTCTAGGTCTTTCTGCTGTGGAGCTGCTAGGTGGGTTCAAACTACTGCAACAATGGGCTCAAAAATATAGCAAGATTGCAAGGATGGCACAGGACTGGGCAGCATTGTGTTCTGTTGCACATGGGGTCACTATTAGCCAGAACCGACTCAATGGCACCTAATGACAATCAAAGACGAACTCTGGCACATGTACATGTGGGTAATGCAAATAGTGGAGAGTTTTTGAGGTAGTGAGCATGTTAAATATCCATCAACAGGAGACTGAATTTCCAAATGAAAATTCCAACAGGATTTTTAAAAATAAACTTCTAGTCTTAGAATGGATTTAGATTTACAGAGGCATTGTGAAGCTAGGCAGAAGCCCTGGTGGCACCGTGGGTAAGGACTTGGCTGCTAATGAAAAGTCAGTGGTTCGAACCCATGAGCCGCTCTGCAGGAGAAAGATGTGGCAGTCTGCTTCTGTAAAGATTACAGCCTTGGAAACCTTATGGGGCTCTACTCTGTCCTATAGAGTTGCTATGAGTTGGAATTGACCAAACGGTGGTGTTTTTGGGTTTTGATCTTTGGTGAAGATAGTACAGGGTGTTCCTACATACCACACACCCAGTTTTCCCTATACTGACATCTTAAACTAGTATGGAAGGAGCCCTGGTGGCATAACGGTTAAGCAGCAGAGTGGCCCTATGCAATACGTCATTTGATTCTTCTAGGGTCTAGATTTAGGAGGAGGATTAAGCTGTGGCTCTGTCTCAAGCCCTGTGTCCTGTAGTCAGAGATGAGCTGGATATTGATCCTGCTGTCACAGAGAATTTACCTTGTTGGGGATTATACACCTAAAACATGAATGCTGGGGTGAAGAAAGCTCTTACTCAGCTTTTACCTCTTTATTTCCCTCCCTTGTTCTTTTTCGTTTCTCTCTGGCTCTTCCTCATCTCTATCTCCTCCCTACCCAGCCTCAACCTGCCAGTGTCCCCAGAAAACCTTAATTTCCTCACCCTATTCCCACGCTCCCCAAAGGAGTTGGTCTGGAATAGAAGGCATGTTAGGCGTCCTTGTATATCTACTTAGGGGCTCAGGTTTCCTTTTAGACTTTCTTGCTCAGAAGGAATCTTTCGTCTAAGAGTGGAAGAAGTGAAAGACCTGTGATCTGAGAATAATGCAAACCAAGGTCTAAGATGGATGGGATTCCTGGGGATTATTAACCTAAACTCAATTTCAGAGCAGATAAGTTTGCTGCAAGCCTAATTCCATCACAGACTATTTGGAACTGCTCTCCAAAACCATCTTTTCATTTAGTTTCTGATTGAAACATGATTGGTTTGGAGTGGGGACAATTGTTTTGCAAGGTTAAAGATCCATCATTTTTGCCAGAGGGTTGTTCAACAAGTCAACTTTTCAACAGATGTTTATGGAGTGGATATTATGTGCCATGCACTAGTCTACTCAGGGATAGCTTCATGGGAATGTGACATGTGCGGTCACACAGAGCTCTGATCTAGAAGGGCCCCTACTTGGTTTAATGCTCTGCTGTTGTAAAATTATTAATTTTTGAACAAGCTAGGGAAGCTGTGTGTTTGAAGAAATTATGATTATACAAGCTATACGAAGATAGTTCTTCCGTAGTGAGCGCTGGTGTATTCCAAGAGAGAAGTGAAAAGTAGAAACTAGCTTGAACCCAAAGTTTGAAGGTATCTACTGGCCTATTAAATGCCTTTCTCTTCTCATCTTTCCACAGAGATTGTAGCAATGAGTCACAGGCGCAATCGCACCAAATTCACAGGGGAACAATTGAAAATTCTCATCGATACGTTCAACCACAAACCTTACCCAAATTTTGCTACCAGACAAAAACTTGCTTTAGAAATCAACATCGAAGAGTCTAGAATCCAGGCAAGTTATAAGTTCTGTTTCCTCAAGACTAAAGTAGAAAGTGGCAGGGTGGAGGGACCATTAACTGAGCTTATATTAAGTGCCAGTGTGCTAAGGGCTTTGTGTGGGTGATAATAATACTCAGAATAAACTCACAAGAATGTTGTTTTTAATGGATGAGGGGGCTCACAGGAGTGGGGAGGAAGTATACTGGTACAGCTTCAGAGAGTGTAAATGGTTAAGCTAATTCTTAAATGCATAATAATTGCAGCAATTATTTATTAATTGCCTCAAAAATATAATAATTATAGCAAATCATAAACTGGGAATTATTAGTGAAGGTACTACATGCCAGGCTAAGAATTCTGAGCCTTGACCTAAGACCCAGTAGGATGTGGCCGATGTTGGTAATAACCCTAATGAGAAAGAATCATTCACTCTTACTTTTGGAGAAATGCAGGGGTGGGGCTGAGATGACACTGACATGTTTGATTCTATCGCTTTCTTTTCCTCACTTAGATTTGGTTTCAGAATCGAAGAGCTAGACACCCATTCCAGAAAAGACCAAAACCTGAGGAGGCCTTAGAATCAAGCCAAGACCTTGGGCAAGATTACCCTGAAGAAAGGAGTCAAGGTAAAGAGCCTGTTCCAGTCCTTTCTCCCAATATAGCCTCTTCAGCACTAAGTGTCTCTCTGTAGTAGAGTCAACTGCTATTTGAGGTGGTAGATGAATGTGCCCTCCCTCAGATCCTCCTATCCAGGGTCTTTGGTGGCAAAGGGTTAAACATGGCCTCTTTGCATTCTTCCTTGCCCTGCCTGTCCGTGAAACTTCTGTGACCTTCCACTGCTTACCTTCTTCCAGCTGGTGTCCATATCCTCCTGCGTCTCCTCTGGCACCTTCTTCCAGGAATAGGCCTGAGAAGAGGCCTTCTCAGGGAGAGGCAACAGGTTCCAAATTTGATGGAGACAGTGGGACATGTTTGGTTTTCATGTTTGAATATGTCATTGGGCTTCTAAAATGTTCCTTTACCTCTAATCTGTCTTACAGTCAGGCGCTATCGTACCTACTATAACTATTCTCAATTACACACCCTTATGGAGGCATTTGAGAACAACGCTTACCCTGGGATTGATTCCAGAAAACAACTTGCTAAAGAAATTGGGGTTCCAGAGTCAAGAGTCCAAGTAAGTGATAAGGACTTTGTTCACTCTGTTTCCTGGGGATGGAGAAGTGTGGGAAGGGAAGCCATACTGGCCTTGGGCTATTGCTCAAAACATCAAGTGCACTCCCACTTCAGGGTCTTGCACGAGCTCTTCTCTCTGTCTGGTAGATTCTCTCACCTCCTTCTGGCCTTTGCTGTTTTTGTTTTTTTTTTTTCCAAATAATTTGAGTTTTTAATGAAGGTTTACACAGCATTTTAGGTTCCCATTCAGCAATTTCTGTACAAATTGTTCAGAGACATTGATTATGTTCTTCACAATGTATAAACATTCTCATTATTTCCATTCTGGTTGTTCTGTTTCCATTAGTTTCCCTGCCCCCTTACTTTCTCATCTTTTGTTTTAAAGTAGTTGTTGAACATTTGGTCTGATATAGATGATTTTTTTAAAGGAGCACAGCACTCACTGGTGATATTCTTTATTTTGTGAGCCAATCTTTTATTTTGTTAAAAAGATGATCTCAGGGGCTAGTTTTGGTTCAAGGTTTAAAGAGTATTTCAGGGAAATAGTCTCGAGAAGTCTTCTAATCTCAACCAGTCCAGTAAGTATGTTTTTTGTTTTTTTTTAGGAATCTGAGGTTCTGTTCCATGTTTTTCTCCCATTGTATCAGGATCCATCTACTGTGGCCCTGATCAGAACAGTCAGTAGCGGTAGCTGGGCACCATCTAATTTTTCTGGATCTCAGGGTAGATGAGGCTGTGGTTTGCGTAGACTATGAGTACTGTAGACTAATTTTTTCTTTGATTTTGCTATCTGTTTTGATCAGCACTGTATGCTTTATGCCCTGAATGGTGCCTGACACATGGCACTCAAGAATTTGAGTGAGTGAGTGAGTGAATGAGTGGAAGAGTGAATATTACTTAACTCCAATAAGAGCCGGGCACTTGGCTAAAATCTTTAAATGTATTATATTCTTGAACTTTTCTAATGATCTCATGTTGTTGTTGTTAGGTGCTAATGAGTCGGTTCTGACTTATAGCAACCCCATGTGACAGAGTAGAACTTCCCCATAGGATTTTCTAGGCTATCATCTTTATAGGAGCAGATCACCAGGCCTTTTCCCCCATGGAGCCACTGGGTTGGTTCAAATCATCAACCTTTCAGTTATCAGCCAAGCACTTAACCATTGCGCCACCAGGGCACCTTTTGAATGGATTAGGTACTTAAAAAATGCTTACTAGAGGAAGGAATCCAAGAGAGGGGTTTATATTGCATCCTTTGGGTGGTGGGGACCTACTGAAAGAGTTAAGATGGAGGAGGGTGCATGTTATAGTTGCACATGAAAGTGGTTGCTCTTTTCCAGAGTGAAGAATGGATTTCATGCTGGAGAAAAGATATAACATTACATGATAATGATAAGTCATTATGAGGAGGAGGATGAGATTCAGAAATTAGTTCTGTTTAAAAAACAAAATGGATATGCATTGATAGCATTTATATGGCTGATGGAGAGAGAGAAAAGAGAGGTGATGACAAAGAAGATGTTAGGGTTAGGGTTCTGGCTTTGGGTGACTGGCTGATATTGGTGTTATCCATCAGGAAGATCAGGCTGTATGAAAACATCAGGAGTTCCTTGGGGGATTTATTTGCTGAGTTGGAGATGTCTGCCTAAGACATTCAGAAAAGATATCTAAGAGGCAGAGTCCAAAGCTTTAGGGAAAGGATTGGGTAGAAGACAATGTGCCACAGTGAAGACTAGATGACTTTATAGAGAAGACACGTTTAAAAGGCAGAACAAGCTTGCTGGACTGTACCTTTTTTGACTAAATGATTTCATATGATTCTGAAGGAAGTGGGGGTAAGGGTTGGGAGAGAAGAAAACAGAAGTCAGTGGAGGAATATGCAGCTAGGCATGTCCTAGAATAATCATTCTAATATCCTTTGGGCTAGTTTTTCTCCCCAGAAATCAAGCTGTATATATTTGCCTCATAAAACCAAAATATTTGTTGTTGTTATAATTCCTAGTTGTTAGTTTCTTCTGCGGCACCTCTTAGTAGACTCAAACTTTCAACCTTTTTGGTTAGAAGCTGAGTGTGTTAACCTTTGCACCACCCAGGGCCTCCACATTTTATATATATATATATGTATATGTATACATATATATACACACACATACATATATATATATATTTAATTTATGTACCACATTTTACTTATTCATTCATCCATTGATGGGCACTTAGGTTGTTTCTATCTTTTTGCTATTGTGAATAGTGCTACGACGAACATAGGTGTGCATATGTCTGTTTGGGTCAATTTTATTAGATCCTTAGGATTTATACCTAGGAGTAGAATTGCTGGGTCATATGGCAGCTCTACCTCTAGAGTTTTGAGGAACCGCCAGACTGTTGTCCACACACAACAGCTGTACCATTTTTCATTCCCACCAGCAATGGATGAGGGTTCCAATTTCTCCACTTTCCTTCCAACACTTTTTATTTTGTTTGATCTTAGCCACCCTAGTGGGAGTGAAATGGTATCTCATTGTGGTTTTGATTTGCTTTTCTCTGATGGCTAATGACTATATATGTATAAATTTATAGGTGCAGGCAAGGGGTAGTAATTAATTCTATATCTTGGGATGAAGAATGTCTTCCTAGCAGAGATTACTCTATCCTGTCATAGAAGATAAATAGAATTTTGAGAGGGACAGATACAAAGAGAATCCAGGCAAAGGGAAGAGCTGGAATATGGGCAAGACACCTTAGGGAAAGACCAGCACCTGTAATGAGGGGAGAGTGGGGACTGTCAGGATATGAAACCGGTGACCAGGTTATAAAGGAACTGGATGCAGGATTCAGAGTTTTGAGCTTTATCTTTAGGTCTGGTAGAATTTCGCAGAAGTTGTATACATGTCAGTAGCGATCTTGGAATTAGACCTGAAATAAACTACCTCTCCCCTTCTTTAGTTGTTTTAATTAAATCTCTTTGTTTTACTTACTCAGATTTGGTTTCAAAATCGAAGATCTAGATTACTTGCCCAGATGAAAAAAGAACCTGATGAGACCCTAGAACAAAGACAAGACCAGGAACAAGATAGCTAAGATGAAAGAGTTCAAGGTAACCTGACTGCCATGCCCAATTCGGTTCAAAAGCAGAGACTCTTGGGTAACCAGTGCTTCCACATGGTGGAATCAACTGTTCCTCTTGGGAGGGGGGTTGTTTATCAGGGTCTGTTGAGTCAGTGGACTGGTCAGAGTCCCTGAAGACTTCTCCTAAGTCTGTGGACCTTCTGAGGAATCTACGGCCCACTCTTCCAGCTGGAGTCCAGAAACCCAGTCGGGATACTAAATCTTCCCAGGGCCTATAACAGTGCCTATTGTTGTTGTTGTTGTGCGCCGTGGAGTCGATTTCGACTCACAGAGACCCCATGTGACAGAGTAGAACTACTCCATAGTGAGCTGTAATCTCTATGGGAGCAGATTGCCAGGTGTTTCTCTTGCAGAGCGGACAAGTGAGTTCAAACCAACAACCTTTCAGTTAGCAGTGGAGCCTGGTACATAGTAAATGTTCAATAAACCTTTGTTGAAGGTATGATTGAGTGAAGAGAGCAATGAATTCTCAGGTATATGCTGCCTGAGTCAGGCTTGGGAATGGATTTCTCAGTAGGAGCCAGTAGGTTCCATATTGGATGGGAAATACAGGAAAGGTTTGACACCGTGTATATAAATTGGCCTCTTGGATTTTTCTTTCTCCCTATCTTTCCTCCTTAGGTGTAGAAGCTACGCAAGATGACATTACCCACACTAGCAACTGTATTTCTCTGGATCCAGAATGGGTAGCATAGAAACAAATCCAGTGTATCTGATATCATCACTCTGGGCCCCAAATCTGTCTCTCACTCTTCCTGGGAATGTCTCCTTCCCCTGGTACTGCAAGCTGAGCCTTCTGAAAATGGTAACACAACTTAAGGTGGCCGAGGCATGTGTAAGAGGTACTCCACAGCCCTCCTGACCCCACCTGGCTCTAGAGTTCAGCAGAACTGGAAGACAGTGGAAAAAAAAATACATACCATTTTTCAATCAGCATCATCGTTAATTCATGCAAAAATCATCAATGAGTGTTAAAAACCTTTAAGTGAGTGTTTGATGAGCAACAAGATATTGTCTCAAAAAAATCCCCATCACAGATTACTTATTAATTACAAAAGGAAAATTGCCATTGAGAAACTTGGAAGACCAAAATCTGCTTAACCAGCAATGGCACAAACCGATATGAGGTACCTCCTGATAGGATACATTAAAGAGGACACAATAAGAACTCTGTGATATCACTGCCGAAAGTACATATGCTGACGCTAACCATAAGGAAACATCAGACAAATGCAAACTGAAGGACACTGTACAAAGTAACAGCCCTGTACTTTCAAAAATGGATTGAACAATTGTAATGGGAATGGAGAGAAAGTAAGCCAACTTAGGAGATGTTGAGAAAGCAAGTCCCCTGAAGAGTTTTCTTCTATATGTAGAGGTTTGTTTCTGCCTAAAATTTCTCTCCAAAGATACTCAAAAAACTGTTAACATTAGGGAAAGGAGTGGGAGACAGAACAATTTTCCATTTTAATCTTTCCATCTTACCTTAATTTTAAAAACCATTTAAATGGGTTATTTAAAGTTTTTAAAACTTAAAGGTGGTGCTCAAATGTAGTATTAAGTGAAAGAAAGCAGACACAAAAAGGGTACACATACTGAATGATTCTGCTGACATAAATTTCAAAACCAAGCAAAATGAATCCCTGCTATTAGAAGTCAGGCTACAGGTTGGCCTCACCCTAAGGTGGGAATAGTAACTGTGAGGGGCCCAAGGCAGCCTCTGAGGTGTGGGGCTGGTAAATTTGGTCTCTTGGGCTGGTTCTAGAACCCTTGTGTGGCAATCTGTGAAAATTTAGCAAACTGTATACTGGTGATCTGTGCTATGTCCTCTGTTACAATATGCCAATAAACACAAACATTTATTAAAGGAGATTCTTGCATTTTTATCAGGTGACAGGGCTGGGGTTAGGGTGAGGCAATCAAGGTGAATCATGCAGGATTGGAACTGTATGTAAAATTTTGATATCTTGTTCATCATAGATTTTTTTCCATTCACTTTGATGTTTTAAAATATTCTTCCTAAATATTATTTCAGTTACTGAGTTTTTTTGTTTTGTTTTGTTTTGTTTTGTTTGACACCCCTGACATTTTGCACCCAAGGCAAGGGCCTCATTCACCTCACTGTAGTCCCAGCCCTGAATTTCAACACAGTGCCATTTTCTGGAAAGGAGCCCTGGTGGCACAGTGGTTAAGTGCTCAGCTGCTAATCAAAGGTTGGTGGTGTGAACCCTCCCAGTAACTCTGCTTCTGTACAGATTACAGCCAAGAAAACCCTATGGGGCAGTTCTATTCTGTCACATGAGATCACTATGAGTTGAAATCGACTTTACGGCACTCAACAACAACCACCATTTTCTGAAAGGGAAACCAATGAAAATGTAGTCTGAATCACCCCTGCTTGGCTAAGGAACCAACCGTTATGGAGGAGGTTGGCTTCATACTGCTCTTGCTGGTTCCAACTCCACAGCCAACTCAGAAGCACAATTGTATGGGGGTGCGAGGGTAAGGGGCTTCCCGAAGTGCCTACCTCAGCCTCAGAAGCACAAGACCCCTGCTCTTGTCCCTGGTACTCTACCTGGGCTCCCAAACCTGCAACGTCCTGTCTGCTGGGTGAGGCCCCATCTCTCAGTGGGCAGGGACTCATGGCCCCACATCAACCACCAAAGAGCTAGTTAGAAGGTTGTCATTGTTGGGTGCCATCGAGTTGATTCCAACTCAAAGCAACCCCATGTGACAGAGTAGAACTGCCCCATAGAGTTTTCTTGGCTGTAATCTTTATGGAATCAGATCACCAGGTCTTTCCACTGTGGAGCCACTGGGTAGGTTCGAACTACCAAACTTTTGGTTAGCAGCCAAGTGTTTAACCATTGTACCACCAGGGCTCCTAGATAATAAGGTAGCAGCAATGAATGAGGAGTCTCCGGAGTACCCAAATAGAGATGCCCCATTCCTACAATCATTAGCAACATTCATTTCTGGGAGCTTTTTTTTTTAAAATCTTGTTTTCTGAGTGGAAGAAGGTAAGGGTTGAAGACAGCCAAGAGGAGGGCAGAACTCTGCAGTGCACATTTGAGAAGGAGATAAGATTGAAAATATGGCATGGATGGTAGGCTACATTTGTGTGCCTGCTCCCCTAAAGGACAAATGTGTTAATGCTGGTATTTGCATTGAATATCTCTGGAGGGATCCACAGTTGTTAACAGTGGGAGCAATGGCTAGAGAACAGGAATTGACAGACAGCTATTTTTAACGCTATGCTCTTTAATAGTACCATTGTATTTGGAACCACATGTATATATTCCAATTTTTCAAAGTACATAAACTTAAAAAAAGACATGGTTTGAATTAAGAAGCCCTGATAGTGCAGTGATTAAGTGCCTGGCTGCTAATCAAAAGGCTGGTGGTTCAAACCTACCCAGCAGTTCAGTGGGAGAAAGACCCGGTGATCTGCTCGCATAAAGATTACAGCTTAGGAAACCCTGTGGGGACAGTTCTACTCTGTCACATAGGATTGCTATGAGTCGAAATTGACTCAACAGCACCTAACAACTCAATAACACTTAAGACTGACCAATGGGCAGAAGGGAAAACAGAAGTGTACGGTTCATGGAATCCCAGAGAGGAAATTGTTTCAAAGAAGGTGGGGATTAACATTTGAATACTGCCGAGAAGCCTGATATACCAAACCCCACCAAACCTGTGATTCCAACTCATAATGATCCTACAGGACAGAGTAGAACTGCCCCACGGGGTTTCCAAGGAGCGGCTAGTGGATTCAAACTGCCTACTTTTTGGTTAGCAGCCAAGCTCTTAACCACTGTGTCATCAGGGCTCCAAGAAGCCTACTAAGAGTATACATTCAACAACATGGAGGCCATTGGTGGTCTTGCAAACAGAAGCTTCAAGTAGTAGTAGACTAGAACCTATACTGAAGTGGTTTGAAAATAAGTTTAAGCAGTGTAGACAATTATCTAGAGAAGTTTTTATAATGAAAAATTGATACCACAGGAGGGTGTGAGGTGGAGTCAAAAGGAGGTTTTCTAAAACCCTGCAGGCAGAGAAGGCAAAGCTAATGATTTAGGTGAGTGTGAACAACTGTGAAGAGATGTGCGGGATCCTGAGGATAAGTGGAGTGGGCAATCTTTGATCTTTGATGGAAGCAAGGCACTTCTTCATTTGCAAGATTTAAAAAAAAAAAGTTTCCCTCTAATCAATTCCAACTCATGTCAACCCCATGTGTCAGTAGAACTGCTCCATAGGTTTTCCAAGGCTGTGACCTTTTGGAAGCAGATTGCCAGGCCTTTCTTCTGAGGCTACGCTTTTGCTTGGTAGTTGAGCTTTGACTGAACTTGAAGGTGAGAAGCCTATGAATGATGGTCTTGAAGTCTGGATAGGAAGCAGGACTTGCAGGACAGACTGAGTGGCATTTGATATAAGTCGATGCTATGGAGCAGGCTCTTTCTGCTGAATGGAATGCTCTTCCCAAGCTCCCATCTTTTCGTTTTCTTCTATTCATTCTTGACAAATCAGTTTGGACTTTCAGTTTAAAGTTGGAATGATAAAGACATCTAGAAGTACAAATAGTATAGATGACATTCACTGATTACCCTGTTGTAAGTTCAGTGAAAAACCTAAAAAACAAAAGAACTCCTACCTTTCCTAGATATTAAAAGAACAAATAAAACATAACTTTCTCTGGAACACCTCTTACCAAACACAACAACAACAAAAAAACCAGTTGGTGTTGGGTCAATTCTGACTCGTGGCAACACCATGTATGTCAGAATAGAACTGTGCTTCATTGGGTTTTCAAGGGTGTGACCTTCTGGAAGCAAATCACCAGGCCTTTCTTCCGAGGCACCGCCATCTTTCAGTTAGTAGCCGAGTGCTTAACTGTGCCACCCAGGTTAAAGAATAACTCAAGCATTTTATTTAGGAATAAAAAATTATTT